TGTTTTCCTCCCACTTGCTTAACCACTGAGGTAACACCAGTTTTCACTGGCAAGGCAGCAATGTGTTTCTGGTTTAGGTGGTTCACCATGCTCTGAGATGGAGTGGCCTCACAGCACTTCTTCAGTGCTAGCAGAGCAATCTGCACTATCCACCTCCATCTTCCTTCTTATTATGGCTCAATGTGGCCTCCTACTTTAAAAGATTATAAGAATACAAAAGCCAAATTGGTCAGGTAGTGAAAAGGATGGGGGGAAAAGAGAAATGCTGCATTAACAAGTGGTTGTATCTCCATCACTTAAAGAAATACAAAACAATACCTGAAAGTCATCCCCTTTCCCCTACTCCCCTAATTACCCATCTTTAATGTCTAAGATGGGTTTTCAAGGAATAAGTAAACTGCAAGTAAAGGTGCTTTGTGAAACCTTGCTCACTTCTGGAAAGGGATTCTCTGTGCAGGATACCAATGTGGCTGCAGGAATAAAGTGACAGAAGTTCATAATGCAGTTGTTACCACAAGAGACGAAATGACAACACAAAGAGTTGGTAAGTAGAGAGAAACAGATGTTTCAGGGTACTGGGATAGGATCTGAATATATTAAAGGTATCCTAAAGAGAATAAACACAATGTTTTATGGTAAAAGCACAGTCGATTATATGGTGTGAGAAAGGAAAGTTTAGAGCAGCATGTCAGCTGAAAAGGCAGCACTGGAAGAGCTGGAAAGGGAGATTCTGCTACATGAAAGGTTATTTTTCAGAGAAGGGCTTTAGAGAAAGAGATGATAGGATTATCTGGTCACAGATTGAATGCAAGTAACCAACTAGAGGAATTGTCTCTAGGCTGTGGAATAAGAAAAAAGAACATCTAAGTAGTTACAAATAGGTGTGACATTGGAAGAGGTGAATTAGCAGTCAGGAAGCTCATTATTCAAATGAATATGGACAAACTTAAAGGTGATGCTCGTATGGGAACACTCTGTTTGGCCAGGCAGCATAAATATGCATAGAACACTGTCCAGTCACCTTCTCACCTTGAAATAAGCACTGTAACTCAAAAAGCGTGTGGTCTCAACAAGGCAATGCTGGAGCTAAACCTGCAGAGACAAGTAATCTGGTGAGATGTGCATTGCAGAATGTCAGTCAGAGCTACTCACAGCTTAAAATAAAGAGCCCCATGGCAGCATGGGGCTCTTTATTTTAAGATGCAATGAGTGTCAGCAGACCCAGCGCTGTCACTTGACTGACCTTGCAGGAAAACAAAGGTAACAAAAAACCCTAGGCTGTTGGGAGGGAATTCCCAGTTACAGATTCAAACATACAGGTCAAAAGCTACTGAGAATTTTTTCTCTGAGCTATCAAACCTAAAAGACTAATCTCCCCGTGAGTAAATGGCATAGAGTGTATAGTGAAATACACAAAACGAAAATCAAACAAGAGAGGAATTACCCTTCCTAGAGAGGAGATGACTCCACTGGAAAAAAAAAATCAATTCTATGAGAAAAGCCATGACAAGAACATATCTTGGTCAGACTAATTAAAAAAAAAAAATCCTTCACCATGAATCTGTCAGAGATGAATGATAACTGTTTCTTACCGAAACTGAAACTTTTGACTGTATGTTGCTGAGGTTTTATATTAAAAAAAAAAAAAAAAAAAAAAAAAGTCATCCGAAAGCAGCTTAAAGAACATCCTGCTCAGAGTCTTGAGTGCTTAAGCAAAGCCTTTTGTGCAGGAAGCCTGAGCCCATGACTGCTTTGAGAGGAGCTTTTCACTGCCATCTAATGGTAGCCTGAGAACAGCTACACTGAGGTCTTTACCCCCTCGGAACATTTCGGTTGTAATTACAGTTCTATATACACAAGGCCGGATTAATCATTCTTAACTTAATTTTTGCATTGTTTTTTGTTAAAAAGGCGCATACTGACCCAGGCTGGGAGTTCTCTTTCATGACCCTTCAACTCTGTGGCACGGAGGGAGTCTGACAAGAAGACCTGAGAGACATTGAAGTTCCTCTACAGTCCAGGGCTGATTGAATCCTGGGAGGGTGGAGGGGGGGAAAGCCCAAAAAACTTTGCTAAGCATCTGCTTTCATGACTGAGATGTAATAATAACATGATGTACTTTCCAACTAGTACAACTGGAACAGTTGCCCTCTTAGCTGGACTAGGAAATTAAGCAAGTATGACAGAGGTGATGTGTCTGTTTGGGGTTGCGAAATGATGAGATAAATCAGATTCGTGATGCCTGTTCATGACAACCAAGTTGCATTTCCTCTGCATCTGATTAATTTCTGCTTCTGTGAGATGCAACTGTATCATCACATTTTAAAATGTAAAAGACGGGGTGACTTCAGACACACTCTTTACCTTGCTGTTCAATATGAAGGTGTAATATGGATGTGTAATTCCTGAACAACATAGAAAGGCACTAATACTTATATTTTGCTTTGCAAAGAGTAAGTTAACTTCACTCTCAGCAATGTTAGATCATTAGTTTAATCCTACACGAGACAAATCAAATTCCAAAAGATTTGAAGAGAATGGGGTGTATGGAAAGAGGCTTGGGGTGGTTTTTGTTGGGTTTTGGCTGAGGGATTTTTTTCTTCCTTGGAGAAGGTAGCATTTCTGCTAAGGGAATCCATGCTGCTCTTGACATTTTTTTTCTGTTTTAAACCACTATGTTCCACTATGAATGCAAGAAAATTACTCTTACCATTCTCCCCCCCCCCCCCCTTCCCCCAGTATGTATGTATGTATATTTTATGATGTATAGGGGGAAAGTGCTAAAAAAGTTAGAGGCTATATTCTCAACTGAAATTGGTCAGAATCTCACAGAACTTAGCACTGGAACATTCAAAATGCATAAAGACACAGAGGTGTTCGGAGATTTCTTCCCAGTGAAGTTTCTAAGGAGGGGAAATAGCTTTGCCCATTAATTGCTCCATTACCAAAGATCCCAGATATAAAAACTTCCCATTCAAACATTTCATGACAAAGTTTATACAGGTGCAATATTAAGCAAACACTTATAATGCCCATGCTAATTGCACAGCTGCTGTTCAGCAGTAGTTCTGCAGTTATATCACTTCTCAGATTTGCCAGGATTTTTCCAAGGGATGACTGGTCTGTCAGGTGAGGTGGCCAGCATTTTAAAGCAAAACTGTAAAGTTGAGGAGCTTTTCCATCTGCCAAAATTACCCTTAACCTTGTGCAGCTACTGACATGAGGGCAAAATGCTACCAGTCTGGTTGCATTCTGTGCCTGCTCTGTATGGATACAGAGAATTCCACAAATGCTGAGAAATTGGAGCACTCAGAAGCACAAAGAGACTGGTGCATGGCGTAGAGAAATCTGGGAGAAGACAGAAGAGGGGATGGATCTCTCCTAGTTTCTGAGCTCCACAGAAAAGGAATTATGGATTACCTCCAGTAATGGAGATGCTGAGCAAAAGAGGGAGACGTTATGAGAAGGAAAGTAAGAAAGGTAAGGGAAAACATAAGCCACAGAGGGGTTTGGATCAAATTGTCATGGTGGCCAAGCCCTTCAAATCAATCTGTGATTGGAAAACTTGCGCTTCTACTGGAGTGATTTCACCAGTGAGACATTTTCATGTTTTTCTGGTTTGGGCATGTGGTCAGAGCATGAGGGGCTGAAAACACAGGAAAAAAAAAAACTTCCCTAGAAAGCTGGGAAAATTACAATGGGAGACAGCTCCAGCACATCTCAGTGGAGCAGGGGCAGAGGCGGCCCAAGCACAGAGGGCTCCTGCCGTGGAAGCCCCCGGTTTGCCGAGGAGGGATGGGCAGGATACCCGCTCCAGCTGCTGCCCTCCTGCCTCTCCCAGCTCCCTCCAGCCTCAGCTCCCAGCCGGCCGGCACAGGGCGGAGAAGGGGAGAGACAGCCCCAAATATCCAGAGGGAGGATGCCAAGAGGATGGAGCCAGGTTTTTCTGGTGGTGCCAACTGTTAGGACATGGGCGCCAGGCAGAAAATGAAGCACAGGAAGTTTCACCGGCACATGAGGAAGAACTTCTTTACTGCTCGGATAACGGAGCACTGGAACAGGCTGCCCAGAGAGCTTGTGGAGTCTCCTTCATTGGAGATACTCAGCAACTGCTTGCACACAATCCTGTGCCCCGTGCTCTGGGGTGACCCTGACTGAGCAGGGAGGGTGGCCCACATGCCCACCGTGGCGCTTCCAGCCTCGCTCATTCCGTGATTCCGTGAGGCGCCCGGGCTGGCAGAGCGGCGGGCACGGGCCGGAGAAGGAGCGGCTCCCGGGCGGCCCGCCCTGCCCTGCCCGAGGCTGCGGCCGCCCGGGGCTCCAGCGCGGCGGAGAGGGCGCGGCTGCTGCCGCGGGCGGGCTCGCGGCCCTGCTGGCCCGCTTGCACCCGCTGGCCTGCGCCCAACAAACGAAGGTCGAGCGCTAAAAAGAGGCAATAATATTTGTTTGTACGTTCAAATAACTGTTGGAATTTGCCCCCGAAGTGAGGAGAGGCCTGTGTCTCCTGCAATCGCTGTACCGTCCTGCAATTAAGACTATTTGCATATATTTTAAGTTCACATATTTAGATACGAGAAAAAAAGCCGGGGGAGGTGTGGTTATTTTTATTTGGCCAGTAATTGCTCTCACTGATCAGGGGTTTTTTTCTTTCTCAGCCACAAATACCGCCTCATTTACTATTTCGGCAGGGGTCACTGGGTGCGGGGAAACCAGAGTAATCCCGTAAGGAAGCACGTGTTTCCGTGGGTATGAGACCGCAGTACAAGCCGGCGCAGCACCCAGCTAGCAGGGGCTGTAAATCAGTTTCTGAGAGCGTTGGGGTGTTTTGGGGTGTTTCCACCTACTTGTCCCGGGTTAGAGAGGAGCAGCAGCAGCGGGGAGCTTTCATGTGAGGCTGCTGTTGCGGAGTCGTTCCTGGGGTCACGGCTGCTGCGGTACATAGAGCCCTGCTGTTTCTGCCCAGCTCTAGCACGGCGCCAGTTCCCCTCTGGAGGAGCAGGGCGGGACGTTGTGCAGCGTTCTGCCACGCGGGAGTGTTGTGGTGCAAGCAGAAACGGAGGTTAAGCAGCTTTCGGCTTCTCTGGATTTGCTTGCTTGCAGTGTTCAGCAACTTGCTTGTGTTAACAATGACTCATGTTAAATAGAGATCTCCCTGTGCTTTTTATGACACAGATAGCAGCGTTTCTGTGTATTCTGTGAATTGTATTTCGGATATAGGGAGGGAAGTGCCACAAATGTGTTTGCACAGTTAATGCTGAACACCAGAAAAGGAATTATAAAAGGAGTATTCTGCTGGGCTTTTCTGCATTTGTTTCTCATCTGGTGTCTTAGCTCTTTGTAGTGTTGGCCAGCGTATGAGAAAGTCAGATCATAAAGCCACCTACAGCCTTGTGCTTTCAGGTGATGCATCACTGTATGGGGAACTGGATACTCATCTTTCTGTAGGAACTGTTATGCCATATGTGGGGAAATCCTTCCAATCCGTCAAAGCAGTTGCTCATTTTTACATATGAATGTTTGTTTTATTTTAGGTTATGCTATGACTGGCTTCAGACTCCCCATCAGCACTTTCAGAAACCTAAATGTCTGGTTCGGACTGTGGGAGAAATTTCCCTCAAATAAACTGTATCCCACTTGGAGGAGAAGCTTATTCTGTAGCTGTCAAGCAAGCACAGCGAACTACAGATGTTTCAGTTTTTCCCCAGTCAGACCCAGTGCACTAAGACTCTCTCCAGAGTATATCTCAGTACTTTCTCTGCGGAACAAAAGCAGCAAAAGCTCTAAACGCAGCAGACAAAGCGTACAAGAAGAGGAGGAAGAAGAGGATGAAGATGAAAGTAATTGGGAAGATGAATTTGAAAATGACCCCAATGTAGTAAAAGATTACAAGGATCTTGAAAAAGTAGTGCAGTCTCTTCGATATGATGTGATCTTGAAAGCTGGTCTAGACATGGCAAGAAAGTAAGTACGGAAGAAACAACTTGTTACTGACAAAGATGTCATGCATCTAAAATTTGACTTTTGATAAGTTTTTATTGCTGGAATAATTCAGTATTTGTGGGGGGTTTTATTTTGGTGTAGCTTTTTTGACTCTCTAAATCTATGTTTTGAATGTCTGGATGTTCCTGTTTATTTCACCCTACCTCCCTTGAAACAGCCTGATTTTGCTTTTCCCTGCTTTTCCTCTGCACTATTTCTGAGATTGCTGAGGAGGCATTTTGTATCACTTCATATTTATTTAAAATTAAGGAAATGCAAAATACTGTACTGTGTAATATGAAAAGGTCTAATTTGAGACTGAGGGAATAAAATAATGCACTATTTAATGAATGGAGAAATAGGGGCTGGTAAGTATAAGGGCCACCAGGTAAATGTGCAGTGTATAAATATATCAGTGTTTGGTCTAATGCAACCAGCAGAAGTCTGATATCACTATGTTGTTGGAACAAAATATTAGTATAACTTGATCACTAACAAATTATTAAACTGGCTGGTGCAGGAAAGGGGATATTATTTATTGGATATTCAGGAGACAGATCTCTAAAACAGCTTTTCTGGCACAGAGCAACTATATGCTATTATTTCATTTAATATCCGTGAAAGCCCTTTTCTTTACTTCCAGTTCAAATCTGTCCTCACCTTAAGTGAAGGTGTCCTTTACACACAAATTAGAGGTGTAGAAATGTGCCTTGCCCATGAATGGTGGTGTTGTGTTTCTGCAAAGAAACAATTGCATTTGGTTTGCTGCACACTAACTGCAATAAAACTTTGTTTTTCTTCAGTAAAGTAGAAGATGCATTCTACAATAATGAACTCAGGCTGAATGGAGAAAAACTGTGGAAGAAAAGTAGAACTGTAAGACTTTTAAATTTTTTTTTTAATATGGTACAGGAATATAGCTAAGGCACAGTCTTTTCCCTCTAGATCACTCTGCAAAGGTGAATGCACTGCATTGCTAACATTACTTCCACCTGAGGGGGATGGTGTGATCATGGTTCCCTGGGTAAATCTTTATTCCCTAAGGCAGACAGGAAACTTGTGTGGCTGGAGAGTCAAATCTAAGTTTGAAAGTCAGGAGAAGGCAACAAGGACGGAACATTTTAAGTTGCTGAAGGAAGTGATGATATCACTATGCAAGGTTGATGGAGTAGGAATGATTGAATCTGAGATACTGGTGGAGCAGGCACATGATTAAAGAAAAAGAGGAAGTTTGGTGATAGAAAGGGATTGAAACTGGGGTGGCTGAGGGAAGGTTCTTGTACCTGCAATAGAGCACACAGGACCACAGTTAGCAGAGAGCCAGAAGGGTCACCAGACATGCACTTCTACCAAGCCTTTCTTTATGTGAGCTGATCCTCAGTGGTGGCTACTGTCATCAAAGGGCAATATGATGAGAAGCTTTGATTCCTGATCCCATAGAGTTAAGGCTGGTTTATGAGAGGTGTACTGCTTCTGTGACCTTTGAGAGGAGCACAGGCAGTTGCTGAGCGCTCTGTTCTTTGAAACACTTTAAACTGTTTTGAAGGCAGGAGGAAGAACTTCGCACTTTGCTGTTTTGTGTCTGTGTTGACAGGAAGAAAAGACATACACAAAACCTTTTTCACAGAGTGAGGTGTTGGTTGTATAACACGGAGCGTGAAGCTCTTGGCAGGGAAGGTCATGAGACATGTAATTGTGTATTGCCACAGCTTTCCTAGAAGTTCATCACTGGAGGATCTATAATAGGCCTGGTATTGGCTGCCTTCCTCCTCTCCTGTGAGATAAGAATATGAAGTGGAAAGGAAGGAAGATGGTGGGGATTTGTTTTCCCCAGGGAATGTTTATAATCACTTATCTTCTCTTTCTGTTTCCAGGTAAAACTTGGTGACACACTGGATCTCATAATAGGTGAAGATAAAGAAACAGGAACTGCTGTAGTTATGCGGGTAGTCTTAAAAAAATTATCTGACAAAACTGAAAGTGAAAAATACAAAGTTATTTTGAGGCGTTGGAAAAACTTAAAAGTGCCCAAACAGGATGTACTGAAGTAACAAGGGGTTGCATGTGGCAGTGTAAGATTTTTGCAGAAAAACATATTTTTTTGTTAAATATGAATTTTGGTTGAACAAAATTACAGTACCCTTTTTTAAGGGCTTGTGTCAGAATGTTATCTTGCTCTGCTGCGTACAACAATAATCATGCAATAAAGCCTGTCACTTTTTGCTGTTAGCTTTGTCTTGTGGTACTGTAAGTTAAAAGATCCAACACTTACATTTCCAGGAGGTTTCTTATAAATAATGAATCAATAAAGACTGATTTGATCACTATTTAATTGCTGTCTAAATTTTGTCAATCAGAAAGGTTACATTAAAGCTGACATCACATCAAGCAAAATGGCTTTCTTTGTTTTATCTCTGTTTTCATGAAATAGGGCGAAAGCCCTCAATTATGTAAAGTTCCTTTTTCATTATTTAATCTTAATTAAAGGTTAACAGTACCAACTCCATGCTTACATATGCTGCTGCTATACCAAGAATACAGCAGGGTACTGATTGCAGTGGCATACTCCTAAGCAGGAAAGCTGCATGGTGACAGAGAATCATAGAATCAGAATAGTTTATGTTGAAGAGACAAGATCATTGAGTCCAGCTGTTAACCCAGCACTGCCAAGCCCGTCACTAAGTCGTGTGTCTAAGTGCCACATCTACACACCACTGAAATACCTCCAGGGATGGTGACTCCACCACTTCGCTGGGCAGCCTGTTCCAATGCTTGACACCCCTTTCAGTGAAGAAATCTTTCCTGATGTCCAATCTAAAACTCACCTGGTGCAACTTGAGGCTATTTCCTCTTGTCAAATCCCTTGTTCTCTGGGAGAAGAGACCATCCCCATTCCCCATCACTCTCTGGGCCCAGCCTCCAGACAGGTTTTTACCCAGTGAATAGTGTACCTGTGCCATAAGCAGCCAGTTTCTCAAGGAGAATGCTGTGGAAAATATCAGAATCTTTACTAAAGTCCAAGTAGACATCCACAGCCTTTCATTCATTTCCTCCATTCATTAAGGAGGTTGCTTCAGCACAGATGGAGATCAGGTTGGTCAAGCATGACCTTCCTTTCACAAAGCTGTGATGGCTGGGCCAAATCCCCTGGTTGTGCTGGCCATGCCATACAATGCACTCAAGATTTTTATCTGCTCCATGACCTTCCCCAGCACTGAGGTCAGACTGACCAGTCTGTAGTTTCCCAGATCCTCCTTCCAACCCTTCTTGTAAAAGGGCATCACACTGGCTGACCTCCAGTGACCTGGAGCCTCCGTGGCGAGGCAGGACTGTGGGTAAATGATAGAAGGTGGCTCTGTGAGCTCTTCCACCTGAGTACAGTCAGGTGGATGCCATTCAGCACCACAGACTTGTGGCTAAATGTTACAGCAGGTGACCATTTCCCCTTGGATTATGGGGGCTACATTCTTCTTCCTCTTGTCCAGCTCAGGGGTCTGAGTGCCTCCAGAACAACTGTTCTTACTATTAGACAGTGAAGCAAAGAATGCATTAAATACCTTGGTCAGTACATTTCCACCCACACCCATCCAATAAATGATGCAGATTCTTCTTAGCCAGCCTTTTGTTGGTAATGTATTTATAGAAACATTTTAAAATGTACTTTATGGCAGTAGCCAGATTAAGTTCCAATTTCTTCCACTCTTCTTTCTGCATAACCTCAGAACGTCCCTGTTGTCCTCCTGAGTTGCCTACTGCTCCTTCCAGAGGTCATAAACATTCCTTTTTTTTATTGAGTTCCAGCCAAAGCTCTCTGTTCAGCCAGGCCAGTCGTCTCACCAGGTGTGTCAGGAAGTTATGAGTAAACCGTGGCAGTGATAGATAGTCTGCTCTCATGGAGGATACAGATCAGTGAGGAGCTCTGTGAAGTCCTGCTGATTTTTACTGTTTAACTAACCATGCAGAGGAAGATGAAATCTCAGATTGTCATGTATCAATTTCATTGTGGCATTTAGGTGGATATTTAATACTTAGACATTGTAGGGAGCTGCAAAGGTCAGACCATACTGGGGAGAGAAGCTCACGTCTGTATTCATTCAGGAAAATACTGTCACTTAGGACAGGCATCTCAGAAATAACCACTTGCACTGGTGACATTAAACATGTGCTTCCTCCAACACAACCTGTTGGATGAACCGTGAAGTATGTAGTTTTTTTTTGTTTCTATGTGTTCAGACAGCCACACACAAGTGTGTGTCTGCAGGAAAGCTGGCCAGTAGGACAAAGACAGCCCTGAAGAGGCAGCAGGAGCATATTCCAGGACACTTTTTCTTCCATGGCAACAGCTACTCAATAGCTGAGTTTAAGCAGGGTGTTTCTCTCCATGGCCTCAAAGTGATGGCTGCTGAGTGAAGGATTTAAAATAATTTCTTGCTTTCTTCAGGCATAGCTAAAATCTGTGCTGTTTTGATTTGGTTTTGGTTTTGCTTTTGTTTTGTTTTTGTTTGTTTGGGGGTTTTTTGTTTGATTTCTGTTTTGTTTTTAGTTTGGCTGGGTTTTGGTTTTTCATTTTGGTTTGTTTGGGTTTTTTTCCCTGATTGTGTAGATGTTTAAAGATGCAGATGCATGTCTACCTATTGATTTACAGGCATTGTGATCTTTTAAAAAAATTGTTCTTAAGAGGACATGATCCTGGAAAGCTTTCCTAGGGGATTTTGGTGATCCTTACTCTGCAGAAGTGAAGGGACTCCGCAGAGCACCCAGAGGAAGACAGCCAGCTGTACTTTCATTGTGGGCAATTGCTGCTACCACTCTGTTGGAACTTGCACCAACTGCAATGGAAATAAATGAGATGCATCCCCAATTCCATTTATTCTTGCTATTCTATGGCTGCCATGATCTCCAGCGGTGCTGAGAGAAAGAAGTAGAGAGGTGTGTTGTAATATGTCAGTGAGCTCCAGCTGCTGGTCAGCAACCTGTCAAATGCTTGCCACTGCCTGTACACACTGCCTGTCACCTCCAGCAATAGTAGCTTACACCAGAGCATGCATGACCAGAGGAAGATCCCACTCAAAAAATGCCAGGAATGCTCTGGGTCTTGGGAATAGCTAAGGCATGGATGTGAAGAAATTAACTTTCTGAAAGGGTCTCTTCTGTGCAGGATAAAAACAGTAACAAACAACAAAAAGTCAACACCTTCCTGGCATCCAAGATGAGCAGGGAAGTTGTATCCCTGAGAGCCATTAACATAACAAAGAGCACTTAGCAAGGTAATTTGAATTGAACAGAATATAAATCCAGTAGTATGCCAAAAAGTTAAATTTTTGACTTCTGGAAAAACCTTTTGGAAACGAAAGTAGACAAGAGCACAAGCAATCAAGACCTAGCCTGTTCCTAATGATGAGAGATTTTTCACTAGAGCCTGTAGTGACAGGACAAGGGGCACTGGTTTTAAACTGAGAGAGGATAGATTTACATTGGATATAGGGATTTATTATTTTTTTACGTTGAAGGTGGTGAGACATTGAAACAATTTATCCAATTATCCCCCATCCCTGGAAGTTTTCAAGGCCAGGATGGATGGGGTTTTTAGCAACCTGGTCTGCTGGAAGGTGTCCCTGCCCATGGCAGGGAGTTGGAACTAGATGATTTTCAGTGGTCCTGTCCAGCTCAAATCATTCAGTGATTCTATGACTGCCACCAAAACCGGGCCCTCACTGACAGCAGAAGATAGAAACAGGCTTTCATAAGTTTTAAATGTTAATCCACCAGTGGTATGAGCTAAGGAAAAGAAAGGCAGACTTCCTAAGGAGTCCTGTGATGCGTGAGACAGCCCTCTGTGGTTTCAGGATTGAAATGGTTGGAGAGGGAACTGTACCCATGTGCTCCAAAATAGAAAGCTTCAGTCACAAGGCAGGGTGATCTCAGAGGAAAACTATGACAGCAGGAAGGTGAGTAGCTGTTCCGCTTGGCTACATTGATCTGTCCTGGATAAGCTTCTCTATTGATCAGACCTTTTTATTGGAGTCACACACTGCTAAGCAAGTTGCACTTGTTTCTGCAGCCTTTAAATATCATGTGAGCTAAAACTGTGACCCAAAGAAGGGTCAGAATGTGTTCTGGGAGGTGTATGAACAGGCATGTCACTTCCACAGTTCTTGCTGGACTTTTTGCTGGGGCATGTAAAGCACACAGAAACTGATCTGGGGATGGAGGAACTATATGAAAGGGCTTCTTAATGAAGATATTGCTGAGAGGTGGACAGGGGAGGCTTGGACAGCTTGAGAAGCGACTGACAAGTTCACAGGAGGCTGTGAGAGGTGGACAGGGGAGGCTTGGACAGCTTGAGCCTCACAGGAGGCTTCCCAGATGACTGTGCTGTCCAAGCTACCTCTGCATTAATCACAGGCAATCCCATCTTCATGGATGGACCTGCAACGTGCAGCCTGCCTGCCCCTGCACAGCCCAATGATCTGATCCAATGACTTTGCCTGGCCCCGTAAGAGGCAGGCACTGTCAGACTGTGGGTGGAGGAGCCCATTGACCTGGCACAGCCTGCAGCATTACCTGGCAGCTTTGTGTGCCTCACCTGCTGCAGGAGCAGTGCTGCACTGATCTGCTGCACGTGGGCCAGCCTGCACTATGGAGCAGGGCGTGGGACAGAGAGCCCTGTGAAGGAATAGTGGGGAATTGCTCCCACAGGAGCTGGACTTCGGTCTGGCAGAAGAGAGCCTGGTCAACGAAAGCAGGCATATACTGGCACTCGTGAAGAGGTTCAGAGTTCTGCTGCCTACACACTGACAGACAGGCAGGGTGTATTCCCTGACCCCTCTGGTGACATATAATAAGCAAATCTTTTTTTCTTAGAACAGAAGAGCACCCAAGCGTTTCTGATGGGGAGCTGGGTTTGGGGTTTTGTTGGTTGGTTGGGTTGGTTTGGTTTTTTTGTTGTTTTGTTTCTTGGGGTTGGTTGTTTTTTTCCTGTAATGGCAAGTCAGAACAGGACAGTCTGCCTCCAGCATCTACCAAATTACAGAGCTAGGCATGGAATGGAAAGGAATGCAAAGCGATGCATGCGATCCATGCACATCTGAGCACTACTGAAGCTAAAATCCATTGGTTTCCAGTGCTTCTGCATACAGACAAGCACTACAGGGAGGAGACCCTCTTTTGTTTGAACTCTTGGAACAGAGAGAGATAAGGAGCAAGAGACAAGGGACAGCATTACATGACACAATAGCAAACTCCTGGTTTTATACAAGGGGTCAGATTTCAAATGTAGGATGCAATCCTATCAAGTGACTTACTTCCACAGCTGACAGTTACCTTGGGATTTTCTTCTCACAGGAAACATTTAGAACATAGTAGAACTAACTAACACACTGCCATATGAGCTAACCAAAGGGAGACATTCCTGAAAGTGTAACTACTAAAGGAATATTTTGCCTTCCAGAGAAGTAACTTCTAACACACAAGACTACAAAATGCCTCTGGAAACAAGGACAAAGAGCTGCTTTGCTATAATGAAATTTGTGAAGGAAATTGGGAGTGATTACTTGATATTTCTGAGTGTGTGTTCTGTATAGATACTAATTAGCTGATCTTCCTCCAAAATCCAATAATAACTTCTTTCCTCTATTAACATAAATTTTAGTGTGACTGGACATATAGCAATTTCACCCATTTATGACTGGGAAGTCAGTTTCACTAAATTTTAAAACAGAAATTAAGAAAAATGTAGCTAAAAACAGAGCTAAAATTGCTCTATTCAATTTCATCTTGGGGTGTGGGTAAGAAAGGGAAGAAGTAGGAAAAGAAAAGCTTTATTTCTCCTCTATTACAGTTCTTCCTTTTCCATGGGAATCAAAGTTCTTCCTTCTGAACTGTTAATCAAAGAAAAATGCTCAGTGGGGACCACAGTTCCATGATGGAACAAACCAGGAGATGGAGAAAGCAAGTGGTCTGCTCATGTCACAGGCTTTCACGGCCATTAGCTAGAAATGACAGCATCCAGAAAATTACAAAAGTTAAGAGGAATATAGTGGGTAAAAATAATACAGTGTAAGGACTTATCTCCTGCCACTTAGATGAGGTACAAAGAAAATGTGAATGTGATGGAGGTTTGGTTTTGTTAGGATTATGTATTCTGCAAGACACTTCCCTAAAAAATTAAGACTGTTATTACCAGCAAGAAGTTTTGATGAATGAATTTTAGGGCAAAATAAGGATTTGAAAGCACTATTACTACTAGAAATTTATCTGTCTTAACATTTACTACAACAAAAAAAAGTAGGTAGGAAAGGATGAAGACAAATGCATATTTCTTACTTATTCTGCCTTTCTTAGCAAAGTCAATTTTGAGAGAATTAAGAGGAAACTAAACCATAACTTCATCTATTAATTTCTATCAACTTCAGGCACCTTAAAAAATATACTTTCAAAATGTCTCTGAGGAAAAATCTAACTCCATTGGTGCTGACTTGCAGTAATAATGGAAAAAAATCAGGAAGTCAAACCAAGGCAGTAAAGAAATGCTGGCAACGACAGTGATGGAGTTTGTTTCATTTACTCAGAAAAACCTGTCACATTTGTTCTTCCATAAATTTTAAGTGCAATCAACTAAAATGTACTTTGTAAGTAAGAGCACTTGTCAATTTATGCCTTGTCCTCAAGGCAAGCTTAAGACATTGAATTTTCCAGCTGTTCCACATTGCTTTAATCAGCAAAATGAAATCTGAATGAAAATAAATTATAAATAAAACCTGTACATTATTTTCTGGGCTTTTTGGGCGGTGAAGAATTCATCTTAGCTCCTTCCAGCATGAAACTAGATGTGGTGTGCCTTTGTAGAGCATTGAGCACACAATTCTGTTTCTCACTGTTACAACATAAACATCAAACAATAATTGAAAAGAGATAAATGTCAGAATTTTTAAAATGTACCTAGAAATAAATTATATGCATTTTGAAGATAATTTAAAAAGTCACAAACATTTCTTAGAACATGAAACACTGTTGGCGTACTGCAGCAGCATAAACTAAGTGATTTCAAGTAAAGATTTTTCTCATTTGCCAACACATTTGTTGTTGATTGTGTCACCTGAATATACTTAACAGGCAATAAACGGATGTATACGTCACCTCCCTTTTATGTGCTGTTTTATATTTTTTACAGAACTTCTACGGAAATGTTAAGTTGTAGAGAATGTATAAGATGCAAAAATAAATACTAACACTACACTGTTTCTTTTAGAAAGCTTAGAAATGGGCTGTTCAATACCTATTGAAAGCTGATATAGTTACACTGTAACAAGCAGAGACACTTGACACCCACCTTAACCGGGTAGGTAGAAAGTAACACTTATCCATAGGAAGTCAGTGTGCATGGCTACCTATGTGCCCAACATTTCAATATCTCCTATCACAGTTTCACTTCCAAAATTTAAAGTTTATTCCTTTAAACAGAAGAAGTCTGAAAGACAGAAAAATCTTTTTAAACGGCTGCAGCAAACTGGGGTGTTTTCCTTTATGTATTTGTCCAACTACCTAAGGTTATCTCAGACCTTAGTAAGAGACTTTAAGGAAAGTAATCCTGCTTGTACCTGAACAATCACCAGACAACATTCTTCTTGTATGAAAATAATATTCCTTTAATATATTTACAAGACTGACCAATTGGATGAAGTGGCTGCACTGCAAGAGCTTGGGTTAGTGAACTATGCCATTATTTATACGTCTGTATTTTGTTGATATCAGTTATAAAGCATACAATCAAACAAATCATGAAAGGGTTGTGAAGAGTTGGACAAAAGGAATGTGCACAGCAATAAGAGAAAAAAAACGCAACAAAAATATTTTATGCCTAGTTTCAAAAATTAGAATTTATCATTTTTATGATCAAAGTTGTCAAATTGGTTTTTTCACTACTTTTTAGATAATATCAACTGACTTATTTTTTTGACTTAATATCAACATCTACAGTAAAAGCCAGTATGTCTCAAACTTGCATGCTAGCTAGTAACATCTATCCCTTGTAAAAAAGTTCAATATATATTGAATTCTTCTGGGAGCTTTGACATCACTAAGTGGTGAAACATATGACTTAAGATAAGAAAATAAAATTGCATTTCTTACCTTTTGGTCAGCTATTTGCAACCACAAATTAAACAGCTGTTAAGATCTTCTGTTATTTTACATATCCTATAAAAGTGCATGTAAAAAAAATTCAGAGTTTCTAGGTAGCATACAATGACAAGAGAGTCTTGGTTTCTGATACATTCAATCTGACAAATTTATGCACTAAAATGAACAGATGCAGACATTGTGGTATCAGTTCTTTATCTTTGGTAAAATGATTTTGATTTATTATAGCCGTATTTGCTCTGATATCCATTTTGAATATGGTCTGCTATTACTTAAACCAACAGGAAACATTTAAATGGATATAAACAGTATCAATGTGTCATTTAGTACATTCATGACTTTTTTCATACATTCTCTGAGAATGTTTCTAGCATATGGGCAAAATGAGCAAATGCTACTAACTATGATTTACTCCCAGTTTAACACAATACATTTACTAGTTCTTGCCATCAGGAAAAACCACTTTGTTTTCCTTTTAAAGGGATCAATATGAGTCTACAAACAATATATTCTAAAAATCTGAAGTAAAAATATCAAATATTTTGTACTTCCTTACAAATGCTAAAATAGAAAATTACATTGGAACTGACTTAAAATTTGCTATGACCCATCTAAGTAAACAACAGAAAAGGACCACAGAGAACATCAACAATTGCTCCAAGGTGTTCAGTGATGCTCTGCAGGCAACCACTGTCTTTACTGTATTAAGAATCCATAATTGACTCTCTCTCACCCTTTCTATCAGTATTAATTTTTTGTAAAAAAGAAAGAGAAAACTAGTTTTAAAGCAGCACTCTCCAGTGACAAGTCATACAGCAAATTCATGTTGGGTTCTGGATGGTCTTTGTTACACTTGAACATATTAATGATGCAAACTTGACCATATGAACCTAAGTTATACATACACAGTTATGTCTCCAAATAGCTACTAATAACACTAAAACAATTTGGTGAAGTGAGGGAGTTCCATATCCCTACACCCAAAATATCCAGATGCTGCTGCATTCATGGAAAGAGTAAGCTACATTACCACAGCTCATATGCTGGGACCCTGAAACACTGGATTTCACCACAAAACCAATCTCTGCACATACTTTTTATATATGTAATTCAATATCAACGCTGGAAACCTTTGGAATCATGATTTTGATAGAAAGTAAGGTCTAAATTTTTTTAAGTTCTTGTTTCAGGTCTTTTTGATGTCGCTGTTGCTTCTGCTATTTTACAAACAGGGTGGCAAGCATATGATGGGAAGACATTCCATGGGTATAGATAGGCTTGGGTCTGTTTTGCTGGCTTTACCCAAGACAAGCAATCCTCAGTCACTCCAGCAGTTACACTGGACAAAACAATAACAATTTATGGGGCAGGATCAAGCTTGTGGTGTCAATGCAAAAAAAAAAACAACATTCATATAGTGTCTATGTTCATGTCTCAATTCTTCAACATAAATTCTTGATTTTGGAAATAAAACCAATGTAACAGTCAAAAATGCAAATGACACCATTCTGACCCACTCTTTGACACAGTATTATAACTTCCAGTACCTCAATATCATGAAAAACAAAACAAGTGTGAAGCTGAAGTTACTGTAAAAGCAAAGTCTAATATTCCAATGATTTCCAATGCAAATGGCACATTCAAATTTAAATTAAACTTAGTCTACACATTTCAAAATCCGAATTAATTAAAAATACTGTTTATAATGGTACAATGAAAAACTGCTCTTGAAGAGCACAACCATAAAAAAAAAATTCTTTATTATTAGAAAGTGATAGAAAAGGAAGATGCAGAAATGGGGAGTGGAGCAATAGTTTCAATACATGTATTTGCACCAGTGAATATCATGCTCTTAGCGAGTCATTGACAGCTGTCACTGATGCTCTTTACCCATGTACTAATGTAGTCAGCCACTTCCCACTGCTGCAGTGCCAACAGAAATGCAACACACACACTGAAACGCAACAAATTTAGTGCCTGACTGTCCCAGGGGCTGAGAACCCTCAGCTCCCGACAGGCCCTTCAGTCTAAACCAAAGCATACTCTTGACAATAATTTAGTGGTCAAAGTCTTAGCAGTTTAAAGAGCCTGTCACTTTTTTTGCTTTCTTAGCTTTTTTCAGTATATCACACTTTTTTCTGTTAGGACGCCGGCACCTTTCATCGATGCTCGGTATACATTCATAATGCCACACTTCCTCCATTTTCTCCACAGGATAAACTGCCTCCACATAATGACGGATCAGTCTCAGTCTGATGGGATCAAGCTGTTTTTTATTACAAGCACCTGAATGGTTGTACTGCAGTCTCAGATTCTCTGGAGTAAAGAGTTCAGGGAAGAGTCTTACGAGAAGCCTGGCAGCAAAGTTGCCAACCGACAGGCTCTGCTGCACTATCTCTCTTATCTCCTTGTCAGAGAGCAGATACAGAGAAGGCACAGGGAAGTCTGGATTAGGAACAACAAGTTCATCGAGTGGTATCTTGCAAAAATCCTTGCTACTTCTTTCCGGTGGCAGTGGCGGCCCTTCAAATTCTTCCCGAAATCTCTCAGGGTTTATTGCATAGGTGAGAAATTCCCTCCTGTCAGGCCCTGGCACGTGGATTTTCCGTTGCTGTTGGTATGAGCGCCTTTGCTCCGTGTCTCTTCGTCGACACCTCTCGTCAAGCTTCCCAACAAACTCCAACGTCCACACTCTGTCGTTCTTTGCTCTGGGGTACAGTATCTGCACATAATGTCGAATTAATTTAATTCTAGTGGGGTCAAGCTGTTTCTTGCCTAAAGATCCACTACAGTTGTATTGCTTCCGTAAGTTTTCATGAGTAAATAGTTCAGGAAATAAGAGAACAAGCAATCGGGAAGCAAAGTTGCCTATGGAAAGACTGCTTTCATATATGCTTTTAATCTGTTCTTTGTTTAACAGGTAATCCGGGACAGGAACATCAAAATCAGGAGGGGGAAAGTCAAGTTTGTCAAAATCTATGGGTACAAGCCAAATTTTTTTGGACCGTCTGCCAGGCTTTTCATATTCAAAACTGTCTTCCACTTTTATGATTGATACATCATCTGGTAAACTAGAAGAATCGTAACAGTCATCTCTCATCTGGTCACATTCACTTCCATCCATATACGTACTTTCAAGCTCATCATTTATTCGCTGAACACACTGCTGCAACCAGGCTTCTTCTTCTTGCACGTCTGGAAAGTAAATTTCAGTGTACCTACGGATTATTTGAAGCCGATGAGGATCCAGCAGTTGTTTTCCAGAGTCTCCAAAGCAACTGTACCTTTCAGCTAATTTTCTGTGATCAAAGAGTTCTGGAAACAGTCTGTGTAACAGAAAAACAGAAAACTCTCCTGGTGAAGAAGCTTCATCTAAAAATTCACTGAGATCCTGAGCATCCAGCATGTAATCTGAGGCAATGACATTACTCCTGTCCAAAGCTTCTTCCTGCTCTTTATCCTCCATGAAATGAGAGGATTCCACCTGCTCAGTCTCATAAAAACTGGATGATTGCACATTCTGCTGACTGTTTTCCATTTCCCTTTGAGCCCAAAATCTATTGAAAAAATCATTGACTTGAGGCAAACACTCCAACTGCCACACAGCTGTATTCTTCACAGAAGGATAACAAACTTCCACATAGTTACGAATAAGCTGCAGATGAAGAGATTCAAGTTTCCTTTTGTTGAGAAAGCCACATGCACTGCAGCTCCTGCCGAACTCGTCGTCGCTGAAGAGCTCTGGGAAGAGCTGCACGAGCAACCGGCAAGCCAGGTCTCCGCCCGATGTGCTTTGATCCATGATTTGTTTGAGTTCCGTGGAAGTCAGCTGGTACTCCGGGGGAGGCTTGAAGTCAGCAACGGACTCTGCTGGACTGACTTGTTTTTTAATTCTGCTAACCTCCAGAGACAACAGGTCAACTTTACTGTGAAGCTGAGTCATATTGGTGTTGAGGGTGTTCAGTGTGTAAAACATTTTCTGTATCAAAGAATATATATTTGATTCTGAATCTGCTGTGGCTGCTGCTACCGCAATGGCCGAGTCTCTCTTGCGCTGATCGTTCAAAGTCCGAATTTGTGAGGGACTGCTGGGGTTGATTTTTTCAAACAACTCATAAGAAGCAAACTGCTCTGCTCCTGGTGGGTTCTTCTTCTCTGTGATTTTGTGTGAGATGCCATAGAGAGGTTTTTTATAAGATGGAGTGATTATGTCACTGAAGGATTCTTCTTCACACAGCCATGTTACATTAGAATTCTTGTTCTTGCTTGGCTGCTCTGCATTTACCTGAGTGGGTGAACCAGCATCTCTGTTCCTCATGTTTGAAAGGGAGCCCTTCAAATGAATAAATATTGTATTAGTAAGACTGCCTTAAAGATACTACCTATAAATATGTGCTCCTTAAGCAAGCACTGCTACATAAATATCCAAAGTCAAATTTTCTCCAGGAGACTTGTTGTGTTAAATAATAAAAATTAATAAGTTCACTAGGAAAAATAAAAATACAGTAAAGTATTATTCAGGTTTCCTTTTTGTTTCCCTTTTTTTGGCTTATGGCTTTCTCCACGGAATAGAAATGCAACAATAATTCTTAGTACTCTCTACGCATAGAGCTCTCTAATTACTCCCCCAAATTAAGTATCATTAGGCTTCACCTTGCATATGAGGAGGATCTTGGGCTGTCAAGAATTTGGGTGGCAACAAGTCAGCAACAGAGCCAAGAATAGCATCTAGATTTTCTGACTCCTAGTCCTGTGACCTTGCCATTGCCTCCAACAACTGCATTTAACATTCCAGCACTCTCTTTAGGTTAGCTTTTGAAAATGTCACAAAGGCTATAAACCACAAAAAAAAAAGCTTATTCTCTTTTTTTCTGATGTGAAAATTTTATATATAGGTTTTAAAAAATATCTTTATAATGATGCAGAATTACTAAACAAATCCTAGTAATTACTTAATTTTTAAAAGGTATTCTATTTACGTAGTAAAAAAGTGGAAAGTACCCTGGTACAATATCTTTTTAAAAAGGAAGCCTAACAGAAGATTTTTTTATTTCTGAAAGGCAATGAAGTTTAGATTCATGGATTCCTAACTTTCTAAATTATTTAAACTATATAAATGTATATAATTTATTAATTATATAAAACCAGTAATGAATTCTTAAGTACTTAATGTTCTCAACTATTTGTAATTATTCCTCATTGCTTGAAATTGGAACAAAGCATTTTAATAATCTCACAGTAGATATGCAGGACTTGGGTGATTTGGTTTGGTTGTTTTTTTTTTTTTTTTTTTTTTGTTAACACGTGGATATTGTAAATAATTCTTAAAAGCTAAGCAGATACAACAGAATCAAAATCCAACATAAAGAATTCAAACATGAGAAAACACTCCCAGACTTGTAAATGTTTCTATACTGAAACAATTTTCTTGGCTTGTTCTATAGAACATTAATTAGATAAAAATCTACAGAATTTGCATTCAAGTATTAAAACAAATTAAATACAGACTTCAGGTCTGAGCTGAGAGCCACAAGAAATTTGAAATCCTAGTGAAGGCCCCATTATATCCTACAGTGAGGAACCTGAATTAAAGTTTCTTTCTTAAGAAACAGAACTGTAACTCATTAAATCAATGTGGTCCCTATGTGTACTCACACTTGGCATCTGCTTACTGCAGTGACAAATTGAATCTAATCATTTTTTAATTTCTAATGCAATGTATACTCAAGGCAGACTCAGAAAGAACAAGCTGGTTTCCACTCCAAGTTTAGAAACCAACATTCAATTAAACTGAAGCTGTTTCCAAGCTCTGCTCTCACTCACATCACATTACCCTACATACGAAACCTCGTGTTTGCACATCCAAAGCTGTGTGGAGAGATGATCAAACGAATACGTCATGCCAAGGAGATGCATTTCAGTGTGCAGTATCCCTGGCTGTCACAGTGCCATGGACACCTGGTTTCCAGGTCCCACTTAGAAGACTGTCCCATTCCAGTCCCACTCATAACAAAGCCAGAACAGCGACTGAGCTGCGAGCAGACTGAAAGCCACATTGCTCCCACCGAACTGCAGGCTCCTAAGCTGGGACTGAAGCTGTCATACACCTGTACTTGTCAGTGAAGAAACAGAGAGCCACATTGCTCCCACCGAACTGCAGGCTCCTAAGCTGGGACTGAAGCTGTCATACACCACCTGTACTTGTCAGTGAAGAAACAGAAGTAGTTCCAGGTAGCAACAGAGCTCTGCCACACAGGCATCACCTGAAAGCAGGCCATGAAAATCTCCACTGACAACACTGCTCCCCAGTCAGGCACACAAACTGAATTACAAAGCTTTTTACTATTTTACATCTAAAGAACAAAACAAAACACTTCTTACACAACCAGTGAGACCTACCACCTAAGTCGCTCTTTCATTAACACTTCTGTTAACTGAGAATATACCAAATATTCCTTCAGAAACAGCATATCCCTCTTTCAATTCCTTCTCTACTGCTAAAATACCTTGCTGCTAAATAGCTTGCCATGGGTCACCAGGTATCTGTCAGTTCTCATTTGACCTCCTGCTGTTTATTTTCCCTAATTAATTATATAATAAAACTTGGCAATATGAGGGCAACTTCTATTGATGTGCACCTCACACACAAAGTCAGGCCAGATCAATATTAGGATGTGTATTAAATAACATTAATTCATTACTTTGACAGTAAGATCATTAAAGTTTGCAGTCTCAGTTTTGGACACGGTGCTCTGGAGCTCATGCTAAGAACTACAGCAGATCTTCACTATGATAGCAGCTGAACTTCTTCCTTACTAATGCAGCTCCTAGCAGCCAGATCTGGCTGCAGGATGGATTTGCATTTCAGAATATCTGCACTTCAGAAACACACAGCCAGTGTTCCCCTAGCAGATGACAAAACATTTGGGCCTTAAAAATATTTAAGAATATTTTAGTTCAGATGCATTCTCATTTTCTTTTATTTTGCTTTTAATTATCTTGCCTATAGCTTCCATCTGGGAATGACACTATCCACATCAAAAATACAAGGCTTTTGTAAATTCTCCAATTTAACTAATTCCTTTTCTGTAACACTGATCTTTAAACATCCACGAATTTCAGATAATACTGCACCCATTTAAGATGATCAGTTCTAATGTACTATCAAAACAAAGATATTGTTCTGAGACTCAATATAAGTAAGATAGTGCTGCTTTTTATACTACAGTTGCACAGCAAGTTTTTATATTCAAAACATTTAAAGAACATTTGCAAAGTGCAGTATTTTGCAAAATGTCAACCAATATAAGAAATTGTGAAATAGTCTCTCACATACTCTCTTAGAATCCTAAGCCAAGTTTTAAAAGTTGCTTAGTTACTGTTCTGGTCAATGCTCAAGTCCATTTATGACCTTTGTTATACTTAATAAACAAAGTCTAAATATCTGTAAGAATACAACACATAATACTCAAGGAGTAAAGAATAAATAAATGCATAAGCAAGAAACATAGATGCTTTTAGACACATAAGAATATGGAAATGTCCTGCACATATCTTTTTTAAACTTACAATCTCCTACACATTGTTTTTTCAAAGAAAAGCAGGGAAAAATAATTCCTGATTATGAAGTGGCATTCAAAATTTAAAAAAAAATAGTGAAGTCTTCAGCTAAAAAGTAATTTAGTAATATAATTACCAGCCCAAAAGAGGTACAGCTCTGTTTATATCATAGATAGATGCCTATATGACATGCAGTAAAAATATATAAGCACAACATTCTTTAGAATAATTAAGATTTTTTCAGTGTTTAAATAGAAATAGTTAATAAAGTCATCAATTAAAACAGAATATTGGTACTAGAGAAGTAATTAACTCTAAAAATCCTGTTAAGATTGAGGACCATTTCTGGTTGGTTATTTAACTAAACATACTGATTCACTGGGGTCGGCCAAGAATGAATTTTCATCGTTATTACTGGGGCAACTTCTGATATTATAAATCCAAAGTTATAATTAATTTCAAATTAAAATTTAAAATTTATTAATGGCAAACAGGAAAATGCAAAGCAAGCACAGTTCAGAGACCATTATAAAGCTCTTTTAAGAGTCTGAATGCAAGGAAAACAATTGTAAAAAGAAAAAGAGAAAGGAAAAGGAAAAGAAAGAAACCGTGTAATAAGATTAAAACCTACCTACCACAGGCATTCAGGGGAAAAAAACAGCCGTAAGAAGTCAGAGAGACGATAGTCAAGAAAAAGAATCACAGAGAACTATGGCTATAAAGAAGACATGAAATGTGCAAATACAACATGAAATAACTGGCTAGGTAGCAGAAGAGCAGAAAAGGATACGTGCATTAGGATAGGTCACAAACTAAATATAACCCAGGGCCTGAAGTTATTCAAAAGAGGATGAATTTGAATCTAGGTTATTTTAATAAAGTGCTGAGTGTGAAAAACAGGAGGTCATTATACTGCTCTACAGGGTGGCAGGAGAGATGTGACTATCCAACACTGGACACTAGTCTTTCTGGACTCTCAAATGGAACAACAAAAATATAAGGTGACTCCTGAAGAAGAGCTGAAAAAAAGAGAATTTTAATCTTGGAAAGGAAGGACTGAGTGGACAACATCACATGAATTTTCCCACATGCAGAAGATTTTTCTAAGAACAGATGATCATTGCTCTCCCTACTGAAAAGAACAAGGACAAAAAGAAACCAGCTCAATTTCACCAGAGATTAATTAAAATCTGCCATTGCTAGGGAGGTGAAACACAAGATCAGGATAATGGAAAAGACTGGGCGTCTCCTTCACTGGTTACAGAAACATCTGGATTGTCCCAAGCTGGGATGCCACACCAGATGTTATAATACATTCCACTCTTGATATGGCTGAAATCTTCTGCATCCCTGCATTTTTATCCTTCAAATAGTACACTAATTTATATGGCTCTCACTGACATTAAATCTTTGTCACAGAAAAAAGAATTACAACCCTGATTCTACCACTCAGGATCAAGGTAAAGGACTGTGTGACATGAGAGGGACTGTAATCAGAGTCATGCAAAGTTACTCCAAATCACTGCCCCTTCCTATGTTATCTGCTGAACAACAAAAACACAATTCACATAAATGACTTAACCTATAACTATTAGCTGTATTTCATAAATATGATCACTTCCATGTTATTTAGAGAATACCCAGCCATGTGCAAACTGGCTTAGGATTAGCCACATTTGCAACAAACTCATTACCAATGCAAATTTAGTTGTAAAAGACTTGCATTCTACTTATAGCAGCAGAGAATTTAGCCTAAGAAATATGAACCAAAAAATCAGTCATGTGTAGAGAAGTTACCTCCTGTGTAAAGCGTCTCTTCTTCACGCTGGGTAAGGCATCCTGCTGGCCTCCTGACCCATCACAGCCAAGGGAGGTCTGTTTCCTTTTGTTGGAATCCTGTAGGCAAGTCACTGCACCATCCAGTGAGTGCTTCTCAGCAGATCTGGAAGTTACTGAGCAGTCTAGAGCTTCATCTTCATTTTCTGTTTCTACTTTCACATTTCTTTTAGGAATTTTTACTGAAGAAAGAGAATGTTTAGAAAGATAAAGCACCCTCTCCAGAAAACCATTACATCCTTACTGTAATGTTCTTGGTTTGTTTCTTTTTATGAAAATGTGTTTTGAAGAACTTCATTATTTTTTATTATTTCTATGGTAAGTGTATATTGGGGCCACCTCAAAGTCAAATAATTCAGTTTTCCAGTAAATGACAGTTTCTTCTCCAAAGAATAATCTAAAGTATAAACAAATAATTACAGGAGGAAGATTTTTTTGGAGGGGAGGAAGGATGTAGAGCAGAAATAATAATGACTAACAAAGATAATGCCCTATTTTAGATAACTTTTAAAAAAATTAGTGTAATTTGTCTTGATCCAACTGGATTCTCTATTAGGTGGCAAATAGTTTAAATCAACAAATATTTTTGCCTGATCAAAAATTATACAAAGTACAACATTTTACCTTCATCATCATCAGTGATTTCAGCTGAATTCATCTTCTATCTCACTAAAGAACAAAACAAAAATACAAAAATAAATATCAGCATCTTCTGGAATCAGGGAATATCTACAGCTCCTCTTGTAATTACTTTTCATCTAAAAGTATTGAGTTAGCAGCCCACAGATGACTTCCAGTTTTTCCAGTCTGTATGTTTGTAATAACTAGTTATCTTCAGTAAACTTCATGGCCATCTACAGACCCATCAACAGGCAAACTATATTGTAGATAACATACAACAGGTAGGGAACTATTTAAAATTCTGTGTCTTTTTCTGGTACAGAGAAAAGTAGAAGTCATTCAAACCTTCTCTGTAAAGTGTCTTGGCAGTATATAAATGGAAGTTAATTGCATTAAAGTGTACAAAATCACTATTATTACAGTCAAATGTTGTCATATTGTCCTTGTGGTTGACACAAAGTCATCACAGAAAGAAAACTCATCATTAATAGTAACATGCATCCTGGAGTAAGTTTTTATTTAAAAATCTTTGATCTTTTGGTATAAATTGTGTCAATTCCAGTAGAATAATGCACATAGATCTACACTAAGTCCTTTTGCTGTGTCAGCCCCTAAATAATGTAGTTTTTGTAGGGAAAAGCAAATATATGTATTATGCTAGAATGATTTTAGTGTTATTTCTCACATGAAAAACTCATCTGTATTTCTGTTCACTCGAAAACTAATTTTGCAAGTTACTTGGGGGCAAAACATCAATCTCTGCACATGTTCCTAAAAGATATTCTAAATCTTTGGAGATCTACAAAGCAAACAACTTAGTCAGATATCACTGACCCTTGCAGGGCACGCAGCTGCAAACTGACACTCTCATCTGGTGAGCGGGTGACTGGCAAACTGTCACACTCTGCTCATGCTCCTCTACATGCAGCATTATGCTTATCTGGCCCCAGAATATTATTGCTTTACAAGTGCAAGTCAATAAAACCAGTCAATCAAAAGTGTACACACAGCCCAGGAGTGGGAATTATAATGAAATTGATAAGAAAGATGGGGAGAGAAACACAGAGAATCTGTTGTGGAAGGAAAAACAGTCTGCACCTCTCTCCTGAATAATGCTGAATACTATATATTTTCTTTTACATCTCAAAATACTGTTAAAAAACTCTGTAAACATTTGAATGCTGTGTAGATATGAATTTCAATTTGTAGGCAATTTGATGGCTGTAATAGTAACTATGAGGTTCCATTCTGGATTAGATTTTGTACGATTTACAATGGGTGGCACCCAAACAAAAGATGCACAGATTTATAAAATCAGCTTATACTGGGCCACCCTTGAAGCCAAGATACTCTTTGATGTGCTGATCTTCCACATGGCCCCTATATACAGCCTTGTAAAGGGCATCCTCAAGGGGATAAAATGAGATTGTCTTCATCATCACATATAAAAATAAGTCTCTTCACAAACCCCTCAGACACCTTATCCTTTTACCCACCATAATTCCCTATTTTAGAACTTGCATTTATGAACTGGCCCATATATCAATTATGCCAGCTTAACAGTACCATAATCATGTCACTTAAACTTCTGCAAACTCTCTAGCCATAACAGCATGAAACTAAGTGGCCCACACCAACTTCTAAACCACCTGATAAGCTCTGATATGGGTTAATACCCAGTCTTATTAACTCAATAGTATTTAGAGATTTAGACAAAGCCACTACAGCTCTTTGTGAAAAATCCTACAGCAGTCTACTTCTCACAGCACCATCAAAAAGCTCTCCTGGACCTTAAGAAAATCCCATCTTTTGCCCTGATATCCCACATACATTGACAGTTACTGCCTGGATCTTCCTTGCTCTGTTCCATGCTGCACTAGGCGTGGCTCTGAGGGCTGTGGTACAAGACCAACACATGTCGGTGCTCAGGGAGTGTAACACACAGTCTTTTTGTGAGAGCCTGAGGTGACAGTAAGCAAATCTATCAATACCGCTACAAACATTCTAAAATGGAGATCAAAATGATTTTTCAGATAATCCTAGACTACTTCATAAGAGCAAAACAGTAAAAAATGTTAACCACAAAGCCAGATGAGAAGATTAAAAGGTGGCAGTTGATGAAACAACACTAAATATTTAGGAGGGAATATATGGAATTATATTTTCTTTCTAATTCCTGCTGTTACTACTATTCAAATAGGAAGAATACTTTAGAAGAATTCCTGTCAGAGAAAAAAAATAAAACTAAAAGGAGAAGATAAATGAGTATCTGAAGAGCCACTCTAACACTGGTAAAAAAGTGAAAATTAAGCAGAGCAACAGTTAACTTTCTGAAGGAAACATTAGGAAGGCCACCAAAGCTACCCTGCATTCAGGTCAAATAACACTGAGTTAAAACATTGTTTCACAAATTTGAAATACAGAGTTAACTTTTGAAGTTTTTTAATCTGAAAACTGATAGAATACAATTAAAAGTGAATAGCCAAAAATCAGTGTCAGAACCAACCAAGCCTAGGAAGACTGTGTTCCATACCTGAGATCTCTGGTGTAAAAAAAAGCACAAACTCCAATTTTTTTTCATTTTTGGGAGAGCACTAGTAATAATCTCTTTCCTTATCTAGTTTCCTGTCTTTGTAAGATTTGGAAGAACTCTGGTATTGAGAAAATGAAGCACATCAAACATATAACAGCTTCTATAAGAGACAGGATTCAATTGTCCCTTTGATTTCCTGCCTTGCAGTCCCACCTGCTCCCTTGGTCAAGCATGGGTGCCTACCTTAACCTTCCATCTTGATAAACTGTCAGAAATCAACTCACTTTTTTTCCTGGGTCACTTTCCTTGTAATTCAGAGGTAAAGGGCCCAGCTCAGGAGTATGCACAAGGTTTGGGCTAGAAAGGAGGAATTAAAATCTCTCCTCATACCATCAAGCCACTGGCTTGGTTCAACTATTTAACGAGACCTTATTTATTCCACTATCTCGCTTCAAATTTGGGTCACAGTGGACCCATGAGTGACTAGTGAGCCAACAAAGAGGCACCAACAGAGCAATGGCATCATCTCTTCCACAGGAAATTAGGATTTATGCAAAGGGGGAAAGCCTGTATCTGTTTCTGAGTGTGTCTGTGTCATGCCTGAATATGTAAGATTAACAACAATTTTGTTGATTGTTTCAAGTCCACTAAAGATAAAACATTTCATATTCGCTAAAATATTGTCAGTACTTACAAATAAGAATTACTTCCTCTTTAAAAGAGGTAGCAGTGTCAAAGTCTGTTTTGAGGTAGCATTCTAGCCCAGACTGTGAGAATAAGCAAAGCTGGAGTAAAAAAAAAGTCTAAAAGATCTTGAGGTCAAATACTGCAAAAACCAATAGAGTAAGAAATACATACAGTAAAGCAAACATCCAACAGTTGTTCCCTATCATGTTGAGTATACAAAACATATTTCAATCTTATATGTATTTTTTTCAAAACGAAAGATAAATATACCTATCATCCTCAGCCTAATAATTACTCAATGCTATCTAGAGGACAGCTGTTGGCAAGTTCCAGGAAAGAGTGAACACTCTGTGCTGAAATTGGGAGCCCACGCCTGCAACGGTGACTGGCAGAGCAACCAGCCTTGGCAGCTTTATCTTGCTGGGATACAGACAGATGCTGCACTGCATCCTGTTTTCTGTTTTCCTCTGGAAGAACGATTCCAAAACAAACCAAACACCCACAGCTACATCAACAGCAAGATCCAAGGGAGTAGGGAAAGAAGAGGAGTCCTGGATCACCTTGTCTGTCACTATTGGACAAATTCCCTTCCCACACATCCTGCCCTCCCGTCTCATCAGACTAGGCAATGAACAAGACAGTTCAATGAAGGGACTTAACACTCCCTACTTCAGTTACTCTTGCTTAGACATCTGCCTCTATTCCAAAAATGTACCAGGTCATGACACTTAACTGCACTGTTGTACCATTTTGGTAATGACATTCCATATTGAAATGGTATTACCCATGGTTAACAGAGAAGCTCAATGCATAGGGCAGTGCTGGGAGTTCCAAAGCATGGGAGAACACCTTAAAAACAAGGTTTTGGAATGTTTCTCTGTGCATTTAGTGTTAACAACCACCCTGATACTGCTTTTGCGTGTAGAACAGAATACGTGACCCATCTACCAAAAATGCATCTACCCAAAATATGCACTGAAGCCTTAAGGGTTTAAAGCACTGGGGTACAACAGATTTTATGAGTAAGGGAAGAAATTGCAACTCATACTCAGAATGTATTTCAGTCTCATATCTAGTAGAATACATATTGCCACTTAAAAGAAGCATAAGGTGTATCCAGTTATTGATGCGCAGAACAGAACTGAATCCCAACTGATTCATAAGTTAAATCTTCCATAATGTGCATTCTCTTCCTGTTTACTACCTAACAATTACTCATGTGTTTGCCTTGGAGGATGCTTTCCCAAACCCTCTTATGATTTTGACCATTATAAAAGCACAATACAGGGAGAAAAGACCTTGCTCATCATGTAACATGAAGGCAGTTCTCTGCCTTTGCAATCATTCTTAAAGAAACCCTGACTGATAATTTTCACATCCTGACTTAAATATGGAACGGAAAAATTCCACCAGAAAAAAATACTGCTGTCCTGCTGTTTGTAACTGAAGTAACTCTGTACTCTTTGAATTCCCATATCTAATGTACTGAGTTCTGACAAATGAAAAAAAAAATAGTGTGAAAACCACACAGGAAACTATCAAACTGTATACATGCTGCATGTGGAAACCAACTTTAACTCTGTACTCTTTGAATTTCCATATCTAATGTACTGAGTTCTGACAAATTAAAAAAAAATAGTGTTAAAACCACACAGGAAACTATCAAACTGTACACATGCTGCATGTGGAAACCAACTAGGATTTCATCACCCTTAATGGTGATCATAAATGAAAATTAATCACTACCTTAAACAAGATACTAAATAATAACAACAAAATGATTATCAGTTTTATAGAAACTTGCTGTTTAGTATTTAACTCCTCACATAACGTTGTACTGTTCAGTTCCCTAATGCATGGAAAAAGTGTAGAAGTTGCTTCTTGGATGCAGCATCGTCCCACTAAGTATTTTAGCTTCTTCATGTAGGTTGGCAGGAATGTCCCTAATTCTTCATTATTGGCTACAAGAATATTATTAAAAACACAGGGATTGAGACATTGTGTATTAAGTTTATTCCCTTTAAAGCCTCATGGTGGTACATTGCTTCATATATAAAACTCAGGTCATAATGAAAAGTGTTCTTGAGTGTTGTTTCTGAAGAAGTCAACTGTTCTACATTTTGGGCAAATGTTAAGACATACATGTTTGCTAGTCACATTAAGTATGTGTTTGATAACATATGCAGAATAAACTGCTCAGTTTCCTTAGCTTTCAGCATGCAGTGAAAGATACAACACCCCTCTTACAGCACAGGTATCCTAATAAAGTTAAATAAATGAGGAACACAAAAAAAAGCGGATCTTTTAAGGAGATGACACTAGCTAAATTTTACAAGATGTGTACATTCAACTGCTGTGTAACAGTCAGAATTAGCACCTCCTCTTACACATCCTGTAACAGGATTTTATCACCAAATTGCAATGGTATTACACCACGTAACTAGAGTATGATTTATCCAGAGCCAATCAAAAGCACTGTACATCTATTCATTCTCAGCAATTGACAATGAGTAATCAATCTCGGCAAACACTCAAGTGTCTGTCCTGCTCCCTGTCTCAGACTCTCTGCCTATATTTCCTAACTTGCACTGGGTGAACCACAGAAAGTAACCAAAGCTTCCCATGGGAAGTCCAGAGCCTTGAAAGCAGGTGTGGGTAGGTGGAAGCAGTCCCATTCCGCACAGCAGGTGAGCAGAGTGCTGCTCTAAGTGCCTGGCAACAGTGTGGAACTCTGTCCTTCATGATGTTTTAGAAGACTGATTCCTATAGAACAGTTGGAAATAACGAGGGGAAATACCAATTCCCAACAGCCAGCCCTACAGTCCCGGAGCCAAAGAGGACTGGAGGCGTGTGCCCTCTGCTCAGGCTGCCCAGGAGCCGCCTCCTGCTCAGGGTGCGTGCTGCTCTCCAGGCTGTCTCTTGGAAAGCTCTCCTGCTGGGCTGAGAAGCAAACCTAGAGAACGGCGAGTTCTGCCTTCTGCTTTGGGTGCCAAGTAATCTGCATCTTTTATTTCCTAGCTGTAGCGCTGGGTTCAATAATTTCAATATCGCAATTATCCTCAGGGTAGATTTTATTCCTCCGATTTGTAAAAAACAATGCAATACAAATTCAGCTCAACTAAATTAGACATAAATACCACTCCAAGACTAAGCTGGAAAATGTATTTCTTAGAGGCAATGTTTGCCTTTTGTTCAGATCTGTGGGCCAGTGATTTGATTACAAATTTTACATAATTTTGACAAGGCCTTATAAATTTTGAAGAAGCAGAGGGTTGAAGAAGTCCAATACCTGAAATCACCTTAATAAAAAAAACCAAAACCGCTACCAAACAAAAACCAGGTAGCTTATTTGAAACTGACCATCCATCTTAAAGAAACTGAGATCTGAATGTTGCCTCATTTAATTGAGCAAAGAGCAAAATGCAAGTAGACAGTATATGAACTATTAAAAGCAAATGCTTCTATTCTATCCAATGTTGCCTCATTTAATTGAGCAAAGAGCAAAATGCAAGTAGACAGTATACGAAATATTAAAAGCAAATGCTTTCTATTCTATCCATTTTGAGGTAATAGGGGTGCTGCAGCCTTGTTTCTCAAAATTTGTTCTTGATATCTAGTACTGACACTTGTAATATTAAGTACTGTAGATAACAGTATTCCAACATTACAAGCATTCTGACTACAAATACATGAACAGTAAGTTCTAAAACTACCAATAAAAAGATTTTAAGTAACCAGCAGATGTTGTTGGAAGCACTACTCTTAAATAAAATAAAAATAAAAATCCCTATACTTCCATAGTTTGAAAACCCATTTTGCTGCCTTGTAAAGCAGGACATGAAGTCTGAGATCTCCACTGAAGCCAGCCTGCAACAAGGGTATTTTTCCAGTAGGACTAAGAGGGCATCTAAGAGGGTTCTTAATTCAGGTCTTTCATATTTCGTTTTAATTAAGTTAAATATGCAGATTTTAAAAAAAAATCCCAACAAACCAAAATCACTCTTCTCAGTTTGCCTAAAACTGAAGTTCTCTTAATCTGTCCTCTGTACTTTTACCAAACAGCAATTTAATGTTGCAGGGGTCAGCAAAACACTAACCTGGTTTATTTCCAGCAGTAATGCAAGAATTTGTCTTTTCTTCAACCACGTGTTTTTCACTGGTCTATTAAAAACGTTTTGCTTTCCTCTCTTCACTCTCACTCTGCTTTTATTTTAAAATACTGTTCCATCTGAACTTTGTGCAGTTTAAATTCTCCTCCAAACTGCATTCATTTCCCATTTATTTTTATCCACTGAACTTACCTAACCTATGACAATACTCAGCAAAGATAAAAATTCAGTTGGTCCAGTGCTGAGTTTGATTTAGGAGGAGATAAGAAGAAAATGTATGAGCACACACGGGTAATTATTTGTTTTATGAGATGTAAATCATTAAAGCTGGAAACAGGGAAAAGGTTTTTCTTTCCCTGCTTAGATGTCTCTGCCCCATGGGTCAGGCATACACTGTGTTTATAGGTGGCAGCGACAAACCCTACTCACACTTCAACCCAAAAAAACCCTGGGACTGCGTCAACGCTATGTGGGAGCCGTCACATGGCTGCTGGCCTGCGGCCGGCTCGCATTCTGCTGGTTCAGAGTTTGTTCCCTTCTATTTACAAAGGGCTGTGTGGACACACCGCAGGGAAAAGTAGGGTAGAGGCAGCGGGCGACCGGGGCAGGGGCGGCGATCGGGGCAGGGGCGGCGAGCGTGATCTGGGCGGAGGCGGCGGGCGGTCGGGCCAGGGGAAGCCGCGGGTGACCTGCCGGGAGACGCTGGGGCCAGGGGCGGCCGCTCCCCCGCGGTGCCCTTCACCGGGCCCCTCAGAGCGCGACCCAGCAAGGACCGACGCGGGTTCCAGCGCACCCACCGCCCGCCGCTCCTCCCGCCGCGTACGATAGGGCAGGCGGGACCCTGAACCGGGCCCCGGCTCCGGGGGCACGCGTGGCCCCGGGGCGGTGCCCGGGCGGGCCCGTGGCGGGGCGGCGGGGGACGCCCCGCGCGCCCCGCACGCGGCGCGGCCGCGGCCGCTTCCGCGGTCAGACCCACGAGCCCGAGGCGGAGGCGGCGGTTGGTGCTTCCGGTCCGAACCCTGCCCGGGCGGATCTATGTGGCCGGCGCGCGGGGGAGGAGGGGGAAGGGGTTAAGGTGAGGCTGGAGGTGACGGCGGCGTGACCGTTCCGCTGCCCCCCCCCACGCCCCGCTCCGTGTCGCCCCCCCTCCCGCGGGCGGCCGGAGGAGGGGCCGGCCCCGCGCCTCCCCCGCTCGGCCCCCCCCTCCCCGTTCTTCCCCCACCCGCCGGGGCGGCGCTCCCCGCTCGCCGTGGGGTGCGTGGAACGGCGCCCGTCCCCACCGGCGGCGGCAGCGAGACTTACCTCTGCTCCGCGCGGGGCCACGGGAGCCCCGGGGCGGCGGGGGCGGCTGGAGCGGCCGCCGCTGGAGCCCGCGCTTCCCCCCCGCTCTTTGTGTGCGAGGGTCCGCGCGCTGCGCTCTCGCGTGACGTGACGGGACCGTGTGTCATTTCCGCACAAGGACACCGAGCCCCGACCCGCCGCGGCCAGCGCCACCCGCCGCCCCGGGGCAGGGGCAGGGGAGGGAGGGAGCGGGGGTGGGGGGGAGAGCGGGCACACGGCCCCGCGGCCCCCGCGCGCCTCCCCAGCACCCACCCGCCACTCGCGTCCCGCCGCCGCCGGGCTGCGACAAAACCGGGGCGTCCGGGTCATCCCCTGGCGCAGCCGGGCTCCGCAGAGATCGCCCGGCAGCTCCCGAGACCCCGGCCGCGGCCGCGCCGATGCCGTAAATCCGTCCCCACGGCGGCGTGGCCGCGGGTCAGCCCGGGGCAGCCCTGCGGGCGGAGCCGGGGGACGCGCCGAGCGCTCCTCGCACACACGGGCTGTGACACCCGCACGCAGCCGCTGCCCGGCCCGGCAGGCTCCGGCCCCCGGCGCTGCCCGGAGCTGGCAGCGCCCGTGGGAGCGCTGCCCGCCCGCCTTTCTGTGACCTTAACGCGGGTTTCTGTGCCTAGCGCCAAGTAGGAAACGCCGGTGTGTGGTGCCGCGTTAGGCTAAGCCTGTACTTTTAAAAAAAGTTATTTCAGTAAGTTGGTTTAATTCAGATCCAGGCTTTTTCCCACGCTGGTTAAACACAAGACCGCTTCCATGCTCCGCGTTTGCGGGGCAGATGGCAGCAGTGATTTATAAAACAGACATTGCATTCTTTTTTAATTAAGTATCCTTGTAGATTTTATCTTCCCTGAAATTGACAGGAGCACATAAGACATTACATTAGTCTGCCAAATCATACGTGCCCTTTCGACTAACAGCTTGTAGAAAACCAAACCGTTTCCCAAAGATTAAAAAATAATTTAAAAAAAAGTGGGGGAGTGAAGTCTGGTTTTGTAACCTATGGCCAGTTGTAGCAGTTATGTTTTTTTGGCTGTATGTAACACACCTTTGGAACTTGGCAGTTTTGCGTGAAATGTTTTACTTACACCGTGAACTCGGCCAGTGCTGCCGTTCCTGATACATAGATTAATTTTGCTGTTAATAAAAGTACACAGCCAAATGCTCTAATTGTATTGTAGTTGCTTTACGGTTTGCTTTTTCTCCAGAGTAAAAGAAATGCAGTCTAAAGATGTTTATAAAAGGTGTTTATTATAAAATGAGTAGGTGAGGGCTGATACTGCCATGAAGGATGCTGGACCCTGTGCAGCATGGAGGATGTATCCGACAGAAGTTACAAGGCAAATACACACCGTGCAAGCGGCAGGTAAGTGTGAAGGTAAAACTCGTCAGCTCTGAGCAGTGCTGTGAATGTAACTGTTAAATAAACCTTTCCTTTGTACTTCAAACTTTTTTTTTTAAATTCAAAAGCAATACAAAGACATGTAAGTCATCTGAGAAATAACTGAACGAAAATCTCAGATAAATCTGCCCCATAAATAGCTCAGCACTTTCCCAGTCACATGCTCTTTCCTCTGAACTGAACAATACAAAGAGTGCCTCTTAAAATAAAAAATCCTCACCATTTCAGATTTTTGGCGCTTTCTTTAGATGCAGTTCTCTAAAATTTTGTTCTTCCACTTATGTCGCTCTTCTAAATTTAGCATCTGGGACTTTTGGTATGTTTACAGTGTCATATCCATGAATAATCCTAACAGATAATAGTTTGTTGATTTTAACTTTGACTGCTCCTTTTATTATTGCTGTTGATAGACAGCTGTTAAAAGGAGCGCTTGAAAGCGGGAACCACCAGCATTGAAACTCCTCCGATGAATCACTCCAACAAGGATGGATACATTTATTAGCGAGACAAGTGTTCTGCAGTTAGCGCATCCTTCTCTCTCCGGAGATAAAGAGCACTACCCGCGAACTTTTCTGAGCCTGTTAGCGCTGTGAACACCCAAGTTTGGGTATGGTTTGTCCCCTCCTTTACTGGAAGGATAATGGAGGCTTTTCTTAAAGGGTGCCGTATTTTAACACCCGGCCCAGCTGCTAAGTAGGGCTAGATTTCCGATGGATTTACTTGAACGCGTTACTTAGTGGGGCTAAGGAAAGGCAGCCATAAGGCAAGAGCAAGCCAGTGGAATCCCAAACTCAATTTCAGAGCCCTTGAGAAAATACCTTGGCAGTTTGAACTCCACCTCATTTCTGCTCTATAGTGCTGGCCTGAGGCATTGTAGCTACTAGGGACTCAAGCCCAGGAGGAGACCTGAAGGGCCTCAGCTAAGCATAAAGCAGCACGAGCATATTGTTGCAATAACAGTATTCAATGGAAAGGGAGCGAGCCAAGTTGTCTCCAGGCAATGCAGGTAGCAAGCTTAGATTGGCTTCCCAGCCAGACAAGTCCCATTTCTTTTCACCATTTGAACTTGTGCTATACACGTCATTTATTCAAATGTTCATCTTTCCCCCACTTTGTGCCTTTGGCTCAAAAACCACTCTGTGACACTGCGGCAATCTGTGAAAAATTCCAGGTCACCGGGGAGGGGAGTAGTGGTGCCCTAGCGAGAGAACTCTTCAGTAAAATAATCACCACTGCTCTGGAATACAATGAGCCATTACTGACTTGAGCAAACTGCAGGAGACTTCAGTCACCAACACCGATGTGCTCAGAACCCCAGGGAAGCTGAAAGCACTGTCTGCACTTGTATGTAGTTCTCGAAGGGTGGGTATGGCAGATCCCTAGACCTTCACCTGCAGAAACTCGAAGGTGGCAGCCCTCCCCGGAGAATGCCTTCTCGGAGTTAGTTCAAAGGATCCAGTCGGCTGGAGATTCCCCTGGGCAGGGGTGAGGAGCCACGGTGGCTGGCAGGGAGGTGGCAGCGCTTGTCCCTGAGCTGGGACTCAGAACAGCTCACTGTGCTGGTGCTTGGTACGATGACAAGGAGCAGAAGAATGAACCTAAATTTAGAAGCCTTTTTGCTTCCTGTGCTGCAAACATTTGGGATAAGCAAGAATCCAACTCGAAACCTTCAGCAAGGCTTCTTTCTTGTAGATCTTTGCAATAGCCCACAGCAGCACTCAGTAGGCAGAGATGTGGCATGAGATGTCAAAAGCACTTTCAGCAGGAACTAATTTTGGCAGTTTCATTCTGTAAAAAGTATTGCTATGGTACGAGTACATCGTCTGTCACTTCACCACATCTTGAAACTAGGCCACTGTGCAGCCAGACACAGGAGTTATGGAGCCCGGAAAGAAAGGAGATGAGAAACAGCGGGGTGTGGAGCCAGCTCCTTGAAACTTATATACCTTTTATGTTAAGACTCTAATGAGCAGACAAGCCCCTTGTGCAAAAAGAGAAGCCCACAGCGGTAACCAGATCCCCTGTGCTGCTCTGGGGCTGCCTTTCAGCGGTTCCTGTGTCGCTGGCCACCCTGTGTGTGCAGCAGGCAGGGGAGGTGCCCGCTGCCGCCAGGCAGCACAGGGCCAAGCGGCTGCTTTCTGCATTACAGCGCCATTTCTCCAGCCGAGTGTGGCTCCAGCCTTTGCTGGAAGGGTGCTTGTCCCCGGGGACAGCCAAGTGGATGGAGTCTCGGATTTCCTGCGGGTTCCTGCTCGGGTGCGGCTGGGCTGGACGGGACGGGCAGGATTGCCCTCTAGAGGGACGGCAGGGGGGACTCGGAACGCCAGCGGTGCCACGAGTCAGGCACTGACTCACCCAAATCGGGCAGATTCTTAAATTAGGCAGCTTGGAATTCACCTTAAATCATTTAGGCATGTATTTGATATAAATAAACTTCAAAGAGACTGAATATATTAGGAAAAAAAAAAAGAAAAGAAAGCAGGTTCCAACATTTTCTGTCTTGAAATAAAAGGGTCTGAAAGGCACCATTAAAAAATCGGTCCAATTAACTCATCTGATTTGCAGTAAAATGCGTCCTGCAATACAAAGTTTATAAAATGAAAATAGTTAATGGCAAATAAAGCAACTTGATAACAAACTTTGCACACTTTCATGGTCTTCACAGCCAGTCCCACTCAAAGGACATGTATGGACACATTGCACAGGAATATTTGGAACCTCTGTTGGCCCACAGGCAACAATACTGAACAAGTAACACGCTGCAGGCAATATCCATACATTGCTGTAACCCAGGCAGAGATAAACAGTGGCAGACATCTGAACTTTATTTATATTTTTAAACTTCCTGTGGCTGCAAGCAGTGTTGGAGGGTTCTGCCAGCAAAATACTACACTAGTTGGGAAACATTGGATTAGACTGCCAGTTAATATAATTGCTTTTTTTTTTTTTGCTTTTTTTTTTCTCAACAAACAGAATTTTTGCATGATACTCTGGGGATTTTTTTTTAATTTTATAGCAACACTGCTTCTTGTTCTTAGATATAATGATAGATGGCACTGGAAACTTCAAAATTTGCTGTTTAGCTAGACTTCACAGAGATGGGCAAGATGTAATTGTGTTGCTTGCTGAAGCAAGGATATCAAAATAGAGAATATATATAAATGGCATCTTTGGATTTTAAAAACAAGACGGTTCATCTCCAAGTGCATGTGGGTTGGAAATCTTAAGAGTTTAGCTCACAAAGAAAAAGTTTCTAAAAAATGAACACTCATTATATGAAAACCCTTTTCTAGCCTGAAGTAGGACCAGAGTGTCCTGGCAAGACAGCAGATATGTAACACTTGAGCACCAAAGGAAGAAGAATTTTATATAAAAGCTTAAAATAAAAACCAGATCGAAGCCGAAGTGGAAGAGCAGAACAGAAATGTAAAGGAGCTTCAAGAATAGAGTAACTCAACCCAGTGAGCAACCTAAATTCTCCTTCTGTGCTGCAGCAGTTTACTTAGACATCAGTTGCATCCATAACTGTTTAAAAACTGACAAATCTGAGCAACTTCACTCTTGGAAGCATAAGCCTCTTTTAATCTCTTGGCAATGAAATCACAGTTCTCTTTACTCTATGTTAGTTCAGCCAAGAACTGCGCCATTGTGAGCTATTTCACAGCTTTGCATTTAAAAAGAAGTAATGCTCACTTAATGCACAGTCATCCTATTATTGACACCATAACTAACTCTGAAGGATCAAACATTTATCCCCTAAAGGTCTGTTTGCCCAGTTCTGTTTTACATCCAGAAGAGGTAAACACAGCCTGGAAAGTCCTTTCTCCCAAAGACGTCCACATCTGCCAGCCAAGTGCAAACAGCACGCTCTCCTTTGTGTGCTTAACACTCGGTTCCATATCTTGCCCATTATATGGAGAAAGAATATTTTGGACCAGTTGCATAGTCTCATACCTCACTTAGATATGCAAGTTTAAGTGCTTGCAACAATATTCCAAAAAAAAAGAATTGTGAAGCAATGTGTAAAACCAGGTTTCTCGGAGAACTCCGATGGACGATTTAGCTTATGATGATATTATTATTATTAGTTTGCAAACAACTGTTTTTCTTAAATCAAAGAAGCAATATTCAGATTGTAGGAATCCTCTTTGTTTCAGGTCCCAAAACTGAAACAGCCTTTCAAGGTTTTTTGAGGTCCAGCTTCTTCTGTCATGGCCAACATATTATACGGTCCTTTTCACAAAAAATAGTCACTGTCTTAGAAGCAGCTAGGGATTCCCCATACTTGGTCTTTACCCTCACTACTGTTGGGAAGCTACTCCTGAACCTTGCTCTTTGGGTGGATAGGAATCTTCCCTTCTGAACTTGCATTAGTGTGGATCTCTGGCTCATGGCTACTCGATGCCCTAGTTATAACCCATTTAGTACAACCTAGTCATACCCTACAGCAGTGCCTTTGAGAACAGCCATGAATTTAAAAGGTGAATGCATTTTGTCCAGCAGGAATTTCCCTTTGATATTGGTGAAAATTCAATCTGGACTGAAGTTTTAATAAAAAGTGTAGCGGTGGGGACCTGGGTTTACAATAAGAAAAAATCCACCTGCTTCGTGTTTATTACTACAATAGAATGTGAAAGCAATTACTTTTCATAAAAGTTTATGTAAGAAATATTTCTAATCATTAGTAATGTGACCACTTTTAGCAGCATCAGTCATCTTCAAGAGATACTAGATGTTTAAACCCTGTTTATTTGTCTGCAAAGATATCTCAGCATATTCCATCTAAAAGCCATGTATATTGCTTGTGGTCTTACGTAATGTGAGCAGAGGTAGGGACATTCACAGTTTTTATACTTTGGATATAAATAAAGTTGTTTGATTAAAAATAAATCTTACCAATACAGACATTTTTCTGTAATGTTCTCCCT